AGTCCTGGGTGAAGACCGACTGGCTGACCGAGCGATGCCGGCGGGACAGGGGCAAGGTGGACACCGTGAGGTACGCCGGATGGGACGGCGAGAGACCCCTACTTGCCCCGTTGATGTTTACACGCGCCCCCACCAAAGCTCGGCTGGAGCTTTCACTGCGCCGACCAGCCTGGGGGGCCTCGATCCTAGGGAGGGGTAGCTGGGCTCTCCCCCTCTCTGGCTCTCTGTGGTTGTGGCTGGGGCTGGTGAGGCCCAGGTGCCTGGAGGTGGAGATTGCGTACCTGGAGGAGGAGTGGGAGGAGAGCTGGAGAAGCTCTGGTCCCCGTAGGGGGTAGCCCACGGTGGGCTCATAGTCGCTGTAGTGGCCCAGGAGGTTGGATCCGGGGCTGTACCTGGGGGTGGAGGACACTCGAGACATGCTGGAGCGGAGAGGTCAGCAGGGGGGGATACGCAGACTGGAAGGGAGCAAGGAAACAAGAGTGTCAGTGTGTTGGTCCGAGGAAAAGGAGTTGGACCCCCCTAAGATGCAGCCAATAGAGCTGTCAGTTACGATCTAAATCAGATCTGCTGTGTTGAACAGATGCGTGTAGGATGGACAGGAGGAACACACGCACACTTTACATGCTACACACACACAAGGCTGAATCTCATAGCAGTTTAACTCCTCTCAGCTTACACACACAGTATCAGTTGAGAGAGGAAGTAGAACACAGGCACACTAATGGAGAATGGAACACCTGACCCATTTTTGTGGTAGTCACAAATGTGTACAATTGATAGGCTATGTAACTACAAGGCTGACAAGGAAACACATCTGCTGCCAATGTGATTGTTGCTAATGCATAAATCAAAATCAACTCAAACAAACACCTGTTGCTGTAGTCGTCGTTGCTATAAACAAAGTCTGCAGGTTGGAAAGACAGCTGGCCTAGTAGGTGCAATAAATTGGAGGGGGTTAAAACGTATCATAGTAACAGTAGTCTTGTCCACTTATGCCCTTTTACATGGAACCAGGTCGGTAACCAACGTTAGATTTACTCTAAGCCAGTTACATCATTGCAATAAGCTATTACTGTACAGTAGGCTACATAGAAGTAGGTTCTCTCTCACCTTCGAAGTCTGCACTTTTATGCAGTGTCCAAAACTCAAATGTATCATCTGCGTCGATGTCAAACCAATATTTATTTTTCTCTTATCTATATCTGCACATTATATATAATATTCCACCTTCCATCAAGATAGCGGTAAAGTTGCCGTGTCCTTGCGCGCTGTGTACATTGCATGCATGTACATTAGCTAGGTCTATTTTCGTTTTTAAAGTCTTTTAGACCCGCCTATCAAGCAGTCGTCTTGGCAACGGGATACTCATGCACATGCTCACCTATAGTCCAAATTCGTGCCTATTTATTGCACAACTGTACAACATCAAATTAGCGGTAAGCATGTTAACATTTGTAGCTCTTTCACATAGCCTACGTTTAGCATATAATTAATTTAGTTTATGGTTTTATAAAATCGTTGAAGCATGAAGGCATGTAGGCCTATGTGCAACTTTTGAAGAGACAAAACAGAGACACAATGGTCAATTATGAGAACTGTTCCGTTTATTCTTGAAATTGTATTGCTTCTCTAAAATGGGATAATTGCCTCGTCTTGCTGTCTTTTTTGGTCAATTAATTAGCAAACTCAATATTGAAAGGCCATTTGAAATTCATACAATATCACATAAAAAAAGCCTGTACTAACAATATGTATACTAAACAAAAATATAAATGCAACATGCAACAATTTAAAAGATTGTACTGAGTTACAGTTCATATAAGTAAATTAGTCAATTGAAATGAATTCATAAGGCCATAATCTAGTATTCAGACCCATTGACTTTTTCCACTTTTTTTTTTACGTTACAGCCTTATTCTAAAATTGATTAAATAAATAAAAATCCTCTGCAATCTACACACAATACCCCATCATGACAAAGAGAAAACAGGTTTTTAGAAAAACTGAGCAATCGTGGGAGAAGGGCCTTGGTCAGGGAGGTGACCAAGAACCCGATGGTCACTGACAGAGCTCTAGAGTTCCCCTGTGGAAATGGGAGAACCTTCCAGAAGGACAACCATCTCTGCAGCACTCCACCAATCAGGCCTTTATGGTAGAGTGGCCAGACGGAAGCCACTCCTCAGTAAAAGGCACATGACAGTCCGCTTGGAGTTTGCCAAAAGGCACCTAAAGACTCTTAGACCATGAGAAACAAGATTCTCTGGTTTGATGAAACTAAGATTGAACTCTTTGGCCTGAATGCCAAGCGTCACGTCTGGAGGAAATCTGGCACCATCCCTACGGTGAAGCGTGGTGGCAGTATCATGCTGTGGGGATGTTTTTCAGCGGCAGGGACTGGGAGACTAGTCAGGATCGAGGCAAAGATGAACGGAGCAAAGTACAGAAAGATCCTTAATGAAAACCTGCTTCAGAGCGCTCAGGACCTCAGACTGGGGCAAAGGTTCAGCTTCCAACAGGACAACGACCCTAAGCACTCAGCCAAGACAACGCAGGAGTGGCTTCGGGACAAGTCTCTGAATGTCCCTGAGTGGCCCAGCCAGAGCCCTGTCTTGAACCTGATCGAACATCTCTAGAGAGACCTGAAAATAGCTGTGCAGCAACGCTCCCCATCCAACCTGACAGAGCTTTAGAGGATTTGCAGAGAAGAATGGGAGAAACTCCCCAAATACAGTGTGCCAAGCTTGTAGCGTCATACCCAAGAAGACTCAAGGCTGTAATCGCTGCCAAAGGTGCTTCAACAAAGTACTGAGTAAAGGGTCTGAATACTTATGTAAATGTAATATTTCATATTTTATTTTATAAATGAGGAAAATGTCTAAAAACCTGTTTTTGCTTTTCATTATGGGGTATTGTGTGTAGATTGATGAGGGAAAAAAACAATTTAATCAATTTTAGAACAAGGCTGTAACGTATCAAAATGTGGAAAAAGTCAAGGGGTCTGAATACTTTCCGAAGGCACTGTATTTCACATGACTGGGAATACAGATGTGCATCTGTTGTTCACAGATACCTTTAAAATAAAAAAAACATAGGGGCATGGATCAGAAAACCAGTCAGTGTCTGGTGTGACCACCATTTGCCTCATGTAGCTTGACACATCTCCTTCGCATAGAGTTGATCAGGCTGTTGATTGTGGCCTGTGGAATGTTGTCCCGCTCCTCTTCAATGGCTGTGCGAAGTTGCTGGATATTGGCAGGAACTGGAACACATTGTCGTACATGTCGATCCAGAGCATCCCAAACAAGCTCAATTGGTGACAGGTCTGGTGAGTATGCAGGCCATGGAAGAACTGGGACATTTTCAGCTTCCAGAAATTGTGTACAGATCCTTGCGACATTATCATGCTGAAACATGAGGTGATGGCAGTGGATGAATGGCACAACAATGGGCCTCAGGATCTCGTCACGGTATCTCTGTGCATTCAAATTGCCATTGATAAAATGCAATTGTGTTCGTTATCTGTAGCTTATACCTGCCCATACCATAACCCCACCGCCACCATGGGGCACTATGTTCACAACGCTGACATCAGCAAACCGCACGCCCACACAATGCCATACACGGGGTCTGCAGTTGTGAGGCCGGTTGGACGTACTGCCAAATTCTCTAAAATGGCTTATGGTATAGAAATTAACATTAAATTACCTAGCAACACCTCTGGTGGACAATTCTGCAGTCAGCATGCAAATTGCACGCTCCCTCAAAACTTGAGACATCTGTGGCATTGTGTTGTGTGACAAAACTGCAGATTTTAGAGTGGCCTTTTATTGTCCCCAGCACAAGGTGCACCTCTGTAATGATCATGCTGTTTAATCAGCTTCTTGATATGCCACACCTGTCAGGTGGATGGATTATCTTGGCAAAGGAGAAATTATCACTAACAGGGATGTAAACAAATTTGTGCACAAAATTGGAAAGAAATAAGCTTTTTGTGCATATGGAACATTTCTGGGATATTTTATTTCAGCTCATGAAACATGGGACCAACACTTTACATGTTGCGTTTATATTTTTGTTCAGTATAGATTTGTACATAATGAAAATGTTATGAGATACTCCAATATTGTCTAACATAAATTGTTATTGCTAGCTATATGGAGTGGGATTAGCTTCTTTCTGTGTCATTGTACAAAAACATTACTTATTTCATGTGCTGAGAACATTTTGACCCAGGTCACTTTGCTATTTAGCTCATAATGAAATCGGTCTGGAGAACTGGACCTAAATCGTTTTTTACAAAATGTATGTTGTGCACAAAATTAAATTAAAAAACATTTTGAGAAGTAATTTAACTTTCACAATATTCATTATTTTTCAAACAAATGTTTCTTGGAGTATCATTTTAAACATACAAGTTATTTTAGAACTGTTTCTGATTGAGGCTGGCACATGAGTAGGCATGTAGAATGGCAGTGTGACCAAACCCTTTGGTAGTCAAGGCACATCAACCAGAGCATTACTTTATATGTTATTGAGACTCATACAGTATTTTCAGAGTAGGGGATTAGGGGCTGAGTGGTGAACAGGTAATCGATTCACATACACGGCCTTTGACTTCACACATAAATAATGATAAAATCATTGTTTTAATCACTTTGGCAACCAAGCTTTGCCATCAAAGATAAATGTAGGGCAAACTATGCCCTCACATCTCATTGAAAAAATACGCTTTATCTAGCACTAACTCACTAGGCTGTTTGTTAAATGAAATATACCGACTTTCTTCTGTCTAGCTAAAGTTTACGTGAGTAAAAATAGTCTTTTGGGGGGCTTTTTCCATTGTGATCCAGGGCCTTGCGAGTTGTTGTTGTTGTTGTGATCCAGGGCCTTGCGAGTTGTTGTTGTTGTGATCCAGGGCCTTGTGAGTTGTTGTTGTTTAGTGCATCCGGAGGGAAGGGCTTCTCGTCTCTGTGATTGGTTGCTGTGGATGTCTCTGTGACAGTGAGCAGGAAGTGTAGCTGTCTGCTCTCTAGTTTGCTGTGATTTCGTGTTATACTGCTCTCCTCTTCTCTTTTTATCTGTCTCTCTCTCCCTCCTCTCTCTCTAACTGTCCACCCAGTGTTAGGAGAAGAGAGAAGTGTGTGAGTGAGCAAGGAGCACGGAGACCACGGTGCTAAGGGCCAGAGGGAGAACGAGGGGTCGTAGGTCAACGCTGGAGCTGACAGCTGGATGGAGGGAATAAAAAGAAATGAAGAAGAATGTCTTATGAATAGAACAGAATAAAGAGTCAGGGGTGAAAGTAAGGCGGTTCGGTCCGGTACGGCGTCCTGGTAAAATAAATAGTGGGGGTACGCCGTACCGGTAAAACATGAGCCTATCACAATAATTAAAACAAAATGTGAAGAAAACTGGAGGCTACTTTATTTATCATTAGGCTACCGCATGTCAGAGGCATGAAAAATGAGTGAATGGACTTGAAAACGGGTGGTATAGCCTACGCGCCAATATGCGATGTGGTTAGATGAGAACACTGAAATTTTGCCAAGGCAGAGATTAATGGCCGACACCGAGACGCACACGGACAGCAGTGGATGCATAAATTCTGGCCTAATGACAATCGCCAAAATGTCATTACACTTTGTGGTGTTTTGAGTAACAGATGTCTCTTTCCATTCACCACTGTTTGGAGGCTGGAAATATGTTGCTAGTGGATGAACGTGCATGGGTAGCCTACTAAAGGAGCCCTTTGAAGTGACTGACAATCAGATGAGAACATCATGACTGGTTGTGTTTATGCCACAATAGTAGGTCATACATTAAAAAAGTTACATGACAAATCTTTATGACTAGGCCCACAGAGATCCTATTGAATTAATAGGGATTTTATATGTAATTCTATGATTAAGCACGTGCACACATAGGAGGTCCTGTACTGGGCAGAAATTCAATCTACTTTCACCCCTGGTCAGATGACAAAGAAGAGAACGCCAGTGCTTTTGGATGTAAACATAATATTTCGTTAGCACTTTACGGTACCGAAATGACCAGGTATTACTTAAAAAGTCGACATAACGTGGTAATAACACAGTTTAATGATTTACGTGCTTGTTTCTTGAGGATTGATTAAAACAAGCACAACTGGGTATCATTAGGTAACAAGTAGTTTCTAATTGTGTTGAATAAGTACCAGAAAGTACCCTTTGATACCACATAATTTCCTAGTAAATACCAAGTTAATACCAATGAAAAAAGTAAAATATTGTTATATTGAACTTTCGAATGCGTCTCTGATCAGAATGTGAATTCTCCTCCAAGTCGTGACCTTGTTGTCTTTTTAACAGTGCACCTCTACGCTATAGTTAGGAGATAATACTGTCCCCTACTTGCCTTGCAGCTAGGGTTCAGTGAGTTGTAAACTGTGAGATGGGCCACATGAAGACTGTACGTGTGCGTCATGACGGTTTAGGGTTTCACAAAAGTGGAGCACTGAGGTGAAATTAGGAAGTCAAATGCTCACGGTTTGTGCTCGTCTCACTCTACATGTCACTTACTTGCAAGTACAGTACTTTCAAAATGAAGACAGAGTATGTGCCCACAGTACAGTGCGTGCGATCAATTTCATTTCAATTCAGTCCACTGAAATGGAATTGACCCCAACCCTTGTAGAGTGTATGTGCATTTTTGTTTGCACAATTCCCAGGTTATGCAGAAATCCAGATTTGAGGATTCCAGATTTTCTGCTTATTCCCTTCTGATTACTAACTGTAAGTCTCTCTGGATAAGAGCGTCTGCTAAATGACTAAAATGTAAAATGTAAATGATTCAGGGAATCTTACAACTGGGATTTCTGGCAAACCTGGGAATTTTGGGAAAGTTACCGGAATGTTGCAACCCAAGTCACACTGTTGAGATGGGAAAACATTGTTATGAAGTTGAACATGTGCTCTTTATGTGAAATATTATTAATTTTTTCCCCCACAAAATTACACTACTTAAAAGGCACTCTATTCGTAGAATGAACCATATAGCAATGTATATGTGAGAGGATGATGTGTGTTTACCTCTACAGCTCTTGCCGTCCCTCTGCAGCATCCCAGTCACACAGCTACACACAGTTCCCATCCCTTTACTGGTGCAGATCTGCTCACAGCCTCCGTTCCCCACCTCACACCAGTCCGACTCTAATATACACACAAAATGGTGAATCACACACATACTGGTATTTACATAAACTCACACATCCTGGTATTTACATAAACTCACACATACTGGTATTTACATAAACTCACACATACTGGTATTTACATAAACTCACACATCCTGGTATTTACATAAACTCACACATACTGGTATTTACATAAACTCACACATCCTGGTATTTACATAAACTCACACATCCTGGTATTTACATAAACTCACACATACTGGTATTTACATAAACTCACACATCCTGGTATTTACATAAACTCACACATACTGGTATTTACATAAACTCACACATACTGGTATTTACATAAACTCACACATACTGGTATTTACATAAACTCACAAATACTGGTATTTACATAAACTCACACATACTGGTATTTACATAAACTCACACGTACTGGTATTTACATAATCGCACAAATACTGGTATTTACATAAACTCACACGTACTGCATGCAGATGTAGCACTCGGACAACAGACACAGACAATACACACATGCACACACACAAGAATGCATACACTAAGGCGACATGTCTGTATCACATACACACATACATACAGTGGGGAAAAAAAGTATTTAGTCAGCCACCAATTGTGCAAGTTCTCCCACTTAAAAAGATGAGAGAGGCCTGTAATTTTCATCATAGGTACACGTCAACTATGACAGACAAAATGAGGAAAAAAAATCCAGAAAATCACATTGTAGGATTTTTAATGAATTTATTTGCAAATGATGGTGGAAAATAAGTATTTGGTCAATAACAAAAGTTTCTCAATACTTTGTTATATACCCTTTGTTGGCAATGACACAGGTCAAACGTTTTCTGTAAGTCTTCACAAGGTTTTCACACACTGTTGCTGGTATTTTGGCCCATTCCTCCATGCAGATCTCCTCTAGAGCAGTGATGTTTTGGGGCTGTCGCTGGGCAACACGGACTTTCAACTCCCTCCAAAGATTTTCTATGGGGTTGAGATCTGGAGACTGGCTAGGCCACTCCAGGACCTTGAAATGCTTCTTACGAAGCCACTCCTTCGTTGCCCGGGCGGTGTGTTTGGGATCATTGTCATGCTGAAAGACCCAGCCACGTTTCATCTTCAATGCCCTTGCTGATGGAAGGAGGTTTTCACTCAAAATCTCACGATACATGGCCCCATTCATTCTTTCCTTTACACGGATCAGTCGTCCTGGTCCCTTTGCAGAAAAACAGCCCCAAAGAATGATGTTTCCACACCCATGCTTCACAGTAGGTATGGTGTTCTTTGGATGCAACTCAGCATTCTTTGTCCTCCAAACACGACGAGTTGAGTTTTTACCAAAAAGTTCTATTTTGGTTTCATCTGACCATATGACATTCTCCCAATCCTCTTCTGGATCATCCAAATGCACTCTAGCAAACTTCAGATGGGCCTGGACATGTACTGGCTTAAGCAGGGGGACACGTCTGGCACTGCAGGATTTGAGTCTCTGGCGGCGTAGTGTGTTACTGATGGTAGGCTTTGTTACTTTGGTCCCAGCTCTCTGCAGGTCATTCACTAGGTCCCCCCGTGTGGTTCTGGGATTTTTGCTCACCGTTCTTGTGATCATTTTGACCCCACGGGGTGAGATCTTGCGTGGAGCCCCAGATCGAGGGAGATTATCAGTGGTCTTGTATGTCTTCCATTTCCTAATAATTGCTCCCACAGTTGATTTCTTCAAACCAAGCTGCTTACCTATTGCAGATTCAGTCTTCCCAGCCTGGTGCAGGTCTACAATTGTGTTTCTGGTGTCCTTTGACAGCTCTTTGGTCTTGGCCATAGTGGAGTTTGGAGTGTGACTGTTTGAGGTTGTGGACAAGTGTCTTTTATACTGATAACAAGTTCAAACAGGTGCCATTAATACAGGTAACGAGTGGAGGACAGAGGAGCCTCTTAAAGAAGAAGTTACAGGTCTGTGAGAGCCAGAAATCTTGCTTGTTTGTGGGTGACCAAATACTTATTTTCCACCATAATTTGCAAATAAATTCATAAAAAATCCTACAATGTGATTTTCTGGATTTTCTTTTCTCAATTTGTCTGTCATAGTTGACGTGTACCTATGATGAAAATTACAGGCCTCTCATCTTTTTAAGTGGGAGAACTTGCACAATTGGTGGCTGACTAAATACTTTTTTTCCCCACTGTACGTGCACACACACACACACACACACACACACACACACACACACACACACACACACACTAGGGCAACACTGATCTGTACCTCTCCTTCTGATGGGTCCTACAGTGAGGATCTGCTCCTTATGATCGCTGTAGTCTGAGTACATCCTCCTGTTGTGAGGACAGTTCTACACACACACACACACACACACACACCTGTATTAAGGTGGCATAACATAGCCATTTAAGCATGCTTCACAACGTTAGATTTGTTATCATTTGCTGCTTATAAAAACTTTGGGCTGGTTTCCTGGACAAAGATTAAACTGGTTCTGGATGTAATTCAGTGATCATCACCATGTTCAGTGTGCAGTGTTCAGGGTCTCCTCACCACTTTGCAGGCATTGATCTCGTGGTCACACAGCGACACGTCACAGTGGAGGTGGACCTCGTCGTAGTCCCCGATGAACTTGAAGACGGTGACGTGGAAGCGGCAGGTGAGGGACACCCCGTTCTCAGCCATGCCGATGGTGTTGTCCTTGATGTTGGGACAACTTCATAGATAGAGAAAGAGAAGTTAGTGTGGTCCTTTGTTGTCCTACAGTACAACATATTGTCTGTTCCGTCTGTCCGTCTGTTTGTCTGTCTGTCATTTGTGTAGTGGAAAGGGTGCTATTTTGGCTGCAGACATTTCCTATGTTATTTTGAGCCTACCCTCTCTCTATGATGATGTAGCGGAGCCGGTCGCTGCTGTAGCGGGACGGCGTGGCCCAGCACATATTGACAATGAGGATGAGCTGGTTCTCGTCGGCCCCCTCCACAAACACCCCCACGAAGAGGATGTCCCGCGTGCTCAGCACCACCTCGCCCTCGCGGTATGGCTGGTGGTACGACGAGTTCTTGTACAGCGCCATCTTAGTGATGAAGTTGCCCTCCTGGGTGGGGAGGGTGAGGTTGATCACACTGGAGAAAGGGATTAGGGCGAGAGAGGGAGAGACATAGGAAGGGGGGAGAGAGATGGAGAGAGGGAAGGAGGGAGAGAGAAGGTGAGGGATATCAGTGAATAAACTCTCTATAAGGAGTCAGGCGATGGAAAACATTGGTCTTGTGTGGAGCAGTCCTTTTCCGTGTGCGCATGAGGCCAACTAAATGGTATAACGTTGCGGATAAAGTCGTAATGACAAAATGTAATGTGTAGAACATTAACATACAACGAGCATGAGAAAGTCTATCACTGGTGAGGTACGTTTCTAAAAACCAAGTGAAATCGCAAAAAAAAACTGTCTGGACACTTCTTTAACATGCTGTTTACATCCAAAACATGGATTTGGTTTTAAAAAAGTGAACTTGTCCTTTAAAGGCCCAGCGCAGTCAAAAACGTGATTTTCCAGTGTATTATATACACATTTCCACACTATGAGTTTGGAATAATAGTGGGAAATTGTGAAAATGATGATAATGCTCTTTTAGTGTAAGGGCTGTTTGAAAATATAGCCTGAAATTTCTGCCTGTTTTGGTAGGATGGACTTTTGGCCTGCCTGGTGACATCACCATGTGGTAAATTAGTTAATAGACCAATAAGAAAGAGAGTTCCAAACCTCTCTACCAATAACAGCTAGTTTTCAGTTTTCCCCTCCCCACTCAGACCACTCCCTGACAGTCATAGTAAAAGTCTTGCTTGAGAAATTGTTCTTTGCCAAGAAGCTATTTTTGTTAATTTTTTACAATTTTAATTGAAAACAATCACAATTGTTATCCAGAAATGATTTGATATTTAGAAGCTGCATTGGACCTTTAAGACATGGCACATCTCTACCATTCACATAAATGTATAGATATAAAACTATGTTTCCTGTAGGATTACAACATTTTGCTAACTCTCCCAAAATTACCAAGTTTTCAGGAAATCATGATTTGAGGATTCAAGATTTCCTTCTTAGATTTCCCTTCTGATTCTGGGAATCTTACAATTGGGATTTCTGGAAAACCTGGGAATTTCGGGAAAGTTACTGGAATTTTGCAACACTACTGTTGAGAAAAAGTAGGTCCTCTAACCTGAGCATGGGCTTGAGCACGGTCTCCAGGGATATTTTGAGGTCTAGCTCGTAGGCGCAGGAAAACTCCACGTTGATTGTCTTGTCCCTGGTGATGATGTTGCCAGTGTTGTTCACGCTTTCAATCCACACTGTATTCTTGTACATGATGTGTGTGCTGTTGGACTGGAACAAAAAAAAGGCAGATATTTTGAAGCTACAAATGCCAGACAATAAACGTCATTACAGTAAGTATAGTATGCCTATTGGTCGGGGAAGAGATTTCATCAGTAACATGGAGCCCTACTGGCCCTTGGGATAGGAGATGACAGGTCTACCCTATTTGCTATACAGACTATAGCAGTGTTTCTCACCAATACAATTGAGTCCTATTACCCCTTGGGGATGAGTCACAAGCCTAAGGCATGTGTTCGCCACCAGTAGTTGGAAGTAGCACTCTAACCACTGGTCCAGGATCAGATATTTTTCCATCCCCCTAATGATTACAGTTTTGTTTAAAGGTAGAATAATTTGACTGTAGATCTGTGGCAACCTTTGCGATACAGCCACGTGGCCCTTGGTGTTGTTTATGTAGAAGGAGATCACTGATATAGGGTCAGATAATATTATCACACCCCTAATGATTAAGGTCAGATTTGAAGAATTATCTACCGATCCTAGATCTGTGGTTAATTACCTGTACGATGGAGCCGCAATGACCCTTAGTGTTGTTGATGTGAAAGGAGATGAAGTCCTCTCCCTCAATGCCGGGGCAGTGCTGGTCGTTGATCCTCACGTCCTCACGCTCAAAGCCCAGCTGGAAGAGCTTACACTTGGAGATGGACACCTCCATCTGGGCGTGCTTACATGTCACCTCTGCCTGTATGATGTCATCCTCATCTAGTGGGAAAACACAGGGGTTGAGAATCGTAAGACTACGGTAGCTACCTTGTATACAGTTGCTAGATTTGGGCTTGGGTCGTGTTCATACTTGAAGTAGTTCTGTCCTTGAGCTGTTCTTCTCTATAAATGTTCTGTATTATGCCATGTTTCATGTTTTGTGTGGACCCCAGGAAGATTAGCTGCTGCCTTTGCAACAGCTAATAGAGATCCTAATAAAAGACCAAATACCAAACAGTACTCCCTTTCCGTGCCTAATGAACACGACCCATGTATTTCTTGTAAGAGATTTGATCAAAATGAGACTGAGCTGGATAAATAAATTATTGAGATAAAAAATAAACATGTCTACATAGAGATAAAATAAACATTTATCTTGTATAGCCTAATGATTACCACCACCCCCTCGCTCATCCCCCTTCCCTGACTCCCCTCCCCCACACTCCCCCATCACACTCACCCCCAGCGTTGTTGGGCAGCTCGGGGCAGCCACACAGGTCTCCCCCGTTTTCCTGCTCACACGTGTTGTTGGTGCAGATCTCTCCTGCGCAGGGGTCGTAGATCCATTCTGCTAAAGATAGATCCAGGCACAATGTTAGCTGTCACACCACAACCACCCAACTGAACGACTGTCATTCTTGAAGAGCCTAATGCTATGTTTTATAAATGTACCTCAAATTTCCCTGCAAACCCCCCACAGACATTAATGCATGCTCAAAGTTCAAGTTACCCGTATATAAAGTGCCTTCAGTATTCATACCCCTTGACTTATTCCACATTTTGTTGTGTTACAGCCTGAATTCAAAATTGATTACACAATACCCCCATAATGACAAAGTAACGCATATTTTTATTCATTTTTGCAAATGTATTGAAAATGAAATACAGAAATATCTCATTTACATAAGTATTAACAACCCTTGGCTATGACACTCCAAATTGAGCTCAGGTGCATCCAATTTCCTTGAATCATCCTTGTCACTACAACTTGATTGAGTCCACCTGCAGCCTCACAACCGCAGACCACTTGTATGGTGTTGTGTGTGCGAGCGGTTTGCTGATGCCAATGTTGAGAACAGAGTGCATGGTGGCGGTGGGGTTATGGTACGGGCAGCCATTAGCTACGGACAATAAACACAATTGCATTTTATCGATGGCATTTTGAATGCACAGAGATACCGTGACGAGATCCTGAGGCCCATTGTCATGCCATTCATCCGCTGCCATCACCTCATGTTTCAGCATGATAGTGCACGGCCCCATGTCGCAAGGATCTGTACACAATTCCTGGAAGCTGAAAATGTCCCAGTTCATCCTTGGCCTGCATACTCACCAGACATGTCATCCATTGAGCATGTTTTGAATGCTTTGGATCGATGTGTACAACAGCGTGTTCCAGTTCCATTGAAGAGGAGAGGGACAACATTCCACAGGCCACAATCAACAGCCTCAGGGAAGAGGCAACTCCGGGATGCTGACCTTCTAGGCAGAATTGTAAAGAAAAAGCCATATCTCAGACTGGCCAATAAAAATAAAAGATGGGTGTGACGTTCTGGCTCCGGGACTCTTAGTAGTGAGCCAGGGTTGTCATTTTCGTTTGGGTGTAGTTCTATGTGGGATCTAGTTGTTTCATTTCTATGTTTGGTTTTGATGTTGATTTAGTCATATGACTCCCAATCGGAGGTAACGAGTGTCAGCTGTCGGCTCGTTATCTCTGATTGGGAGCCATATTTATACTGTGTGGTTTCACCTTGGTTTTGTGGGTTTTTGTTTCCTTGTTGCTGTTAGTCATTATCAGTATTGAACTTCACTTTCGTCATATTTGGTTTGTTGTTTTGATCGTGGTTTCTTTATAATAAAGTCTACGATGTTCGCTCAACACGCTGCGCTTTGGTCTCCTCCTTTTGACGATCGTGACAATGGGCAGTCTGAGATATGGCATTTTCTTTGCAACTCTGGCTAGAAGGTCAGCATCCCGGAGTCGCCTCTTCCCTGTTGACGTTGAGACTGGTGTTTTGCGGGTACTATTTAATGAAGCTCCCAGTTAAGGACCTGTGAGGCGTCTGTTTCTCAAACTAGACACTCTAATGTATTTGTCCTCTTGCTCAGTTGTGCACCGGGCCTCCCACTCCTCTTTCTATTCTGGTTAGAGCCATTTTGCGCTGTTCTGTGACGGGAGTAGTACACAGCGTTGTACGAGATCTTCAGTTTCTTGGCAATTTCTTGCATGGAATAGCCTTCATTTCTCAGAACAAGAATAGACTGACGAGTTTCAGAAGAAAGTTCTTTGTTTCTGGCCATTTTGAGCCTGTAATCGAACCCACAATTGCTGATGCTCCAGATACTCAACTAGTCTCAAGAAGGCCAGTTTTATTGCTTCTTTAATCAGCACAACATTTTTCAGCTGTGCTAGCATAATTGCAAAATGGTTTTCTAATGATCAATTAGCCTTTTAAAATTATAAATTTGGATTAGCAAACACAACGTCCCATTGGAACACAGGACTGATGGTTGCTGATAATGGGCCTCTTGACGCCTATGTAGATATTCCATTAAAAATCAGACGTTTCCAGCTACAATAGCCATTTACAACATTAACAATGTCTACACTGTTTTTCTGATCAATTTGATGTATTTTAATGGACAAAAAAAATGCTTTTCTTTCGCAAACAAGGACATTTCTAAGTGACCCCAAACTTTTGAACGGTAGTGTATGTAAATGAGATACTTCTATATTTAATTTTCAATACATTTTCAAACATTTCTAAAAACATGTTTTCACTTTGTCATGATGGGGTATTGTGTGTAGGTGGTTGAGAAAAAAATATATTTAATCCATTTTGAATTCAGGCTGTAACACAACAAAATGTGGAATAAGTCAAGGGGTTTGAATACTTTCTGAAGGCACTGTAGCTGAAGTTTGAAACAATGAAAGCCATTGCACAATGTGTTTCTGTATTACATCGCACATTGGTAGCATGTACAATATAGTAGGAACAATAATGGTCCAAGGACTTACTCCTGCAGAACTCTTAGAGGGAAAACATGTAAGAAAGCAATGGAACTGTCTTCGAGGTTCACATTTGAATTTGAGTTTCTTAGTATGTTCTAAATATTATTTATCAAACTGCACAAATTGGTACCTATTCACCCTCGTGCCTCCCTTTGTAACCCCACTCCAGAAAGCCATTATTTCCTGCCAGTGGCGCCATGCCCCCATAACCGTCCCCATCCCGTGCCCTTACAGCAGTTCTCCTGGGCGATCCATTTTGTGGTGAGCGTGCCCAGGGAGCGGCAGGCCTCGGCGTAGGCAGCCAGTGAGCCGCACACCTGGGCCTTGCGGTGGTTGTAGCAGCCGTCCAGGTAGCAGGACTGGTAGAAGGGCCTGGGGTCCAGCAGGCCGTGGCAGGGCTGGAAGAAGCCCTTCATCTGGGTGAGCTTCTGGCACCCCTCCTCGCCCTGGAGGCCCAGCACGGCCGTGTTCTCGCACGACTGGGCCAGCGCCACGTACTGGGTCTCGTCACAGCTGGGGGAGGGAGAGAGAAGAGATGGGAGGTAGAGGTTGAGTTGGGGAGATCCATCCATGCTTTTGAATGCACCAATCTGTTTTAATTAGCACCACTACATTCTCCAGAAATCCTAGGAGATTCTGGACTGCCAAATAACCAGCAAACCAATTGTTTTAAGCTAAAAAAAAAACAGAACAAAAAACAGACTAATTGTCTATCTCTCCCATGTCACCCCTTTCCATCCCTCCTCTCCCACTCACCTATTCTGCATGCCATTGGTCTTCCAGCTCTGGGCCAGCTCCAGGGCGCTGACGGCCGGCTTCCCGCGGGAGGTGATATAGTCGTCAGTGGGGTCTCCGTTGAAGTTGCCGCAAAGGCCACACACCTTAATAATAATACTTATGTATTTTATAGCTCTCATAGTTATTTTCTAAAACCCAAAGACACTTTACAATAACCATATAATGCATTACATACTGTAACGCTTATATAATGCTCTACAATCATAAGGAAATCAACAAACCTTGTTTTGCAGCCGCTGGCCCATGGTGATACTGAGCGTGTTGAAGCGGTTGTAGCGCACCTGGATGTCCTGTGGCGTGTCGATGACCAGGAAGCCCTCCGACGTGGAGACGCGCGTCATTAAACCTGTGACGAATGGTACCGACACGGGCGTGCCGTTCACCTGGATAGGAGGAGGAGGAGAGAGCTGTGAGATTCATGCACACTGACGTGGTCAGACTTTTAAAGTACACATACACAAATAACTATGTACGACTCACCATCCAAACTAATACAAATACACACATTTCACATGCATTCTTTTCATAATAAACAGATGATAAAGTGATGCAATTTTTTTTACTCATCCATCCATTTATTAATTAATCTATTAATCATCCATCCCTCTTTTCCCCTCACCTTCACGGTGCTCCCGGAGATCAGTATATTCTCCTCGTTGATATAGAGGTATGCGTGGGAGATGGTGGTGAGGTTGGGCGTGCTCCACTTGTCGAAGTTGGCGATGAGCTGGAAGGAGAGGTCGGGTAGCTTGTGGCAGTTGGTGGACAGTACGAAGGAGCAGGAGGCAGGCAGACGCAGGGACGCCCCGTCAAAGGTCCTGAAGACGCCGCCGCCAGATGCCACGCAGTGCTGCGAGCGCCGGGCAAAGCAGCCGCGCACGCCGTGGTGCAGGGCGCACTCCTCCTCGGCCTTGCAGCGGCGCGGGTCGCACTGGATGAGGTTGCGGCCGATGCACTGGCAGCGCTTGGTGCAGTCGCCATTCCAGAACAGCTGTTTGGGCTGGCGAAGAGAGACATAAGTTATGACAATACAGTGCCTTCAGAAAGTATTCATACCCCTTGACTTTTCCTAAATGTTTTGTGTTACAGCCTGAATTAAAAATATATTACTATTTTTGTTTTTCACCCATTTACAAACAATACCCCATAATGACAAAGTGAAAACATGTTTTTAGAAATGTTTGCAAATTTATCGAAAACTAAATACAGAAATATCTCATCACCCCTGAGTCAATACTTTGTAGAACCACCTTTGCCAGCAATTACAGCTGTAATCAAAACTGTGACTTGGCCACTCAGGAACATTCACTGTCATCTTGGTAAGTAACTTCAGTGTAGATTTGGCCTTGTGTTTTATGTTATTGTCCTGCTGAAAGGTGAATTCATCTCCCAGTGTCTGGTGGAAAGCAGACTGAACCAGGTTTTCCTCTAGGATTTTGACTGTGCTTAGCTCCATCCTCACTTTTCTCCCATCACAGCCATTAAACTCCGTAACTGTTTTAAAGTCAATATTGAGCGGTTTCCTTCCTGTCCGGCAACTGGGTTAGGAAGGACGCCTGTATCTTTGTAGTGACTGGGTGTATTGATACACCATCCAAAGTGTAATTAATAACTTCACCATGCTCAAAGGGATATTCAATGTCTGCTTTTTTTTTTTTACCCATCTACCAATAGGTGTCCTTCTTTGCGAGGCATTGAAAAACCTCCCTGGTCTTGGTGGTTGAATCTGTGTTTGAAATTCACTGCTCGACTGAGGGACCTTATAGATCATTTTATGTGTGGGGTACAGAGATGAGGTAGTCATTCAAAAATCCTGTTAAACATTATTATTGCACATAGAGTGAGTCCATGCAACTTATGTGACTTTTGTTAAGCACATTTTTACTCCAGAACTTATTTAGGCTTGCCATAACAAAGGGGTTGAATACTTATTGACTCAAGACATTCAGCTTTTCATTTTAAATAAATGTATAAACAATTTGAAAAACATAATTCCACTTTGATATTATGGGGTATTGCATGTAGGTCAGTGACACAAAATCTCAATTTAATCCATTTTAAATTCAGTCTAACACAACATTTGGAAAAAGTCAAGGAATGTGAATACTTTCTGAAAGCACTGTATGTGCAGTTTTAATGTTACAATATGTAAACCTCTAGTTGAGGATTTCAAAGGCCGAATATCATTCAATAATGTTCAGTTCACACAACAGACAATTAATTAGTGTAAGTAGTGTCTGTGTACTCTCACGAGCCATAATTGAAATCTCGAGCTAACTCCCCAGGAAACCGGGAACATTCCCAGAACATTAGCTAAGATTCCCATTAAGTTCAAGTTTTATCTAACATTAGGATGATAACATCCCCAAAACATTCAAATAATGTTTTTGATTAAAAAATTAAATAGATTTTTTACAATGTTCTCCTGACATTCACTAAAATGTTGTGCACAACATCTGTAACAACCACCACAGAACATTCCTCCAATGTTCTCATTAGGTTTCCAGGTAATGTAATAACAACGTACCAGTAATGTTTTCCCAGCAAACCTAAATTTGTTCTGTGAAAGTTCCCAGCAAATGTTCTCATAACACAAAACTGTGCAGTCATGCTGATGATCATATAATGTTTGTATAAAACATTCTCCTGATGTTGCAAGAACGTTCCTAGTACACATTTTGTCTGATCTTTAAAAGTTCCCAGATGTTTCTTTAGGTTGTGGGAAGAGTCTGTTGGGAACATTGTGGGGACATCACAAAATATATGTTCCCAAAACTCAAAAAACTGTCCAAATGTGCAGATGATTATACAATCTTTCTTTTAGGGTGCAAAAAACATTCACCTTGTGTTAAAAGAACGTTCCCAGAACCCATTTGTTATGTTCTTTAAAAGTTCATAAAACATTTCATCAGGTTGTGGAAACATTGTGGGGATATGACAAGAGATAGGTTCCCATAACACTAAAATGGTCCATTTGTGCTGACATTCACATGATGTTTGTATCAGTGTGTATAAAATATAAATTGTTGACAGAACAGCCTTTCTGAGTTCTTTAAAGGTTCCCAGAACATTTAATTAGGCTGTGGGAACAGTCTGGGTAAATTACAAGAGATAGGTTCCCCAAACACAAAATGTGCTCTGTTGTGATAGCATTCATAAACATTAAAGTTAGGAATGTTGACAACTGGTCTAGGTTCTTTAAAGGTTCCCAGTGCATTTAATTATGTTATGGAAGTTGTCTGGGATGTTGCAAGAATATTATTGTGATATTCACGAAGGTTGCACAGAACATTCCCACAATGTTGCACAATTACCAAATAACTCTGTTTTAATGACGTTCATAGCATATTTGGTATTATCCCTTCTTAGACATAACTAAACCAGGGAAATATTAGTAACTGGGTTATTCACCATCACTTCACCCATCCTCTTTATAATTTGCATTATATTTACAAGGTATCCAACACTATGGGTGCTGATTTAGGATCACTTTTGCTTTTCAGACCATGCAAAATAAGACATGGGGGACCATATCAAGCGTCTCAAATTAGCAATTATATCGGGTGTGTTTAAAAAAAAGTTAAACAGTACATTTCTACACACGTTTTTTTTTTTTTACAGTTAGTCAAAATTTTGCATTTCTGACTGGATTTATAAATCTGGACCAAATAAAGACATCCTCTCTTTTAGTAGAGTATAGCTGAGCCTCAATTTCACGTTAATTTTTTTATTACTTTTTTAAGAACATGGTTAAAGAATGTGTGATTGAACCTGCAATCTTCAGATCTGCAACCAGATCATTAATCATCTTCACCAACAGTGGATAGCTGTGGCCTTACACGTTTCTTTCAGTCTAATGTGATCAATCAGGACACAGAACACAATTTCTGAGTTATTAACATTTTCACATTCTCTTCATATGCTGTGTACTTGTAACATTTTTCTCTTTGCTATTGCACTTTTTTTGCTATTCATGATTTTAATTGAAAACAATAACAGTAAGGTACTTCATTGTTACCCAGAAATGATTTGATATTGAGATTAAAACACCTGCATTGGACAATTGTGTGCCGCCCAATGGGACTCCCGGTCACGACCAGTTGTGACACAGCCCGGGATAGAACCCGGGTCTGTAGTGACGCCTCAAGCACTGTGATGCAGTGCCTTAGACCACTTTGCCACTCGGGAGGCTGCTTTGGACCTTTAAATCAATAAAAGATTGTTGCATTGAACTTCAATATGTTTTGATATATTTCAGAATGGCTATTGCATGCATTTCTGTGATTAGATTGAAATTAAGAAAAGGTCAAATTGTTTTCTAATTTAGTTTGAAGGTTCGGAGCCTGTATTTGATAAGCATATGAATGCACAAGAATAAAAGTTATTTAAAGGAAGCTCAATCCAACTAAAATCACATTTCATAAGACTTTCAACACGTGATGAAGAAAGAAAATCATAAAATACAGTGTTACAAGTACACAGCGTATGAAGAGGATGGGAACATTTGAATAAACTCAGAAATTGCATTCTGTGTCCTGATTGACCATATTAGACTGAAAGAACCCCGCAATACAGCTATTCCCTGGTGGAGCAGAGGGTTAACCCAATGAGTCCCACCGTAATGCCGGCATGATTTAGGACTTCTAACCCCTTTTATACATTATGTGTAATACAGACTACAGACGATCGCGTGTACTACAGTTTAAACTACAGACATCTGGGTTATACTATTGGATTTGTCTATTTCGTCTGCATCCGTAGAGACCAACCATTAGTCTGTGTGATTAACGGGGGCTGCTAGAGCGGTCTTTGTGAGACAAGGGCAGATACCGAATGGGCCAAGCCAGGTCTTTTTTTAAATTACAAAAACGTATGTAGAGTTCGAATGGTTTGAGCTACAAACTATTAAAAGCTATCTATGAAAAGCTGAGACACACTACGTCGTGAAGGACTGAAATCCTGCAGCGCCCGCAAGGTCCCCCTGCTCAAGAAAGGACATATACAGGGCCGTCTGAAGTTTGCCAATGAACATCTGAATGATTCAGAGGAGAACTGGGTGAAAGTGCTGTGGTCAGATGATACCAAAATCGAGCTCTTTGGCATCAACTCAACTCGCTGTGTTTGGAGGAGGAGGAATGCTGCCTATGACCCCAAGAACACCATCCCCACCGTCAAACATGGAGGTGGAAACATTATGCTTTGGGGGTGTTTTTCTGCTATGGGGACAGGACAACTTCACTGCATCAAAAGGGACGATGGACGGGGCCATGTACCGTCAAATCTTGGGTGAGAACCTCCTTCCCTCAGCCAGGGCATTGAAAATGGGTCGTGGATGGGTATTCCAGCATGACAATGACCCAAAACACAAGGCCAAGGCAACAAAGGAGTGGCTCAAGAAGAAGCACATTAAGGTCCTGGAGTGGCCTAGCCAGTCTCCAGACCTTAAACCCATAGAAAATTTGTGGAGGGAGGTGAAGGTTCAAGTTGCCAAACGTCAGCCTCGAAACCTTAATGACTTGGAGAAGATCTGCAAAGAGGAGTGGAACAAAATCCCTCCTGAGATGTGTGCAAACCTGGTGGCCAACTACAAGAAACGTCTGACCTCTGTGATTGCCAACAAGGGTTTTGCCACCAAGTACTAAGTCATGTTTTGCAGAGGGGTCAAATACTTATTTTCCCTCATTAAAATGCAAATCAATTTATAACATTTTTGACATGTGTTTTTCTGGATTTTTTTGTTGTTATTCTTTCTCTCACTGTTCAAATAAACCTACCATTACAATTATAGACTGATCATGTCTTTGTCAGTGGACAAACATACAAAATCAGCAGGGGATCAAATACTTTTTTCCCTCACTGTATGTCTTGAAAACTTGATTGCTGACATGCAAAACATTTTGGGACTATATCGACAATGGACTAATGAAACAAATATCAAAATATATTTTTGGGGTGGAATTTTTCTTTAAACATTGTATCAATGCCATCACAACTGAGCATATTTTGTGTTTTGGGAACCTCTCTCTTTTAATGTACCCACACTGTTCCCAAAATTAAACGTTCTGGGAACCTTTAAAGAACTCAGAAAGGTTGTTCTGTCAACATTCTTGCAACATCAAAGGAATGGTCTGTGCTCCCTGATACAAACATTATCTGAATGTCAGCCCAACTGGACAGTTTTAGTGTTTTGTCATATGCCCACAATGTTCCCACAACCTAAAGAAACAAATCGGGAAACCTTTAAAGAACAGACAAAATGTGTTCTGGGAACGTTCTTGTAACAACAGGTAAAGGTTTTTTCACCCTAAAAAAACATTGAAGATTAATCCGCACAACTGGACAGTTTTTTATTTTGGGAACACATATTTTGTGATGTCCCCACAATGTTCTCACCAGACTGTTCCCACAACCTAATGAAACATTATGGGAACCTTTAAAGAACAGATTAATTGTGTTCTAGGAACGTTCTTGCAACATCTGGCAAATGTTTTATATAAACATTCTATAATCATCAGCACAACTGGACAGTTTTTGTGTTATGAGAACATTTGCCGCGACCTAACGTATGAGCTGGGAACTTTCCCAGAACCAATTTTGGTTTGCTGGGTAGCATGTCAGGTGTATATGATTGGCTGTGGAGAGAGACTACTGTCGGTGTGATTGACTCACCTCATAGTACTTGCCATCCGTGTAGCAGCCACAGTTCTGGGGCAGGATGCAGCCCTTGCCGTTGAGGACGTATCCCTGGTCACACTGACAGCCCTCCACACAGTCCTGGGTGCACTCCCTCTGGCCGCGGGCTGGGGCACACTGCGGCTGGCACACGGACATGCAGCCAGAGTAGTGGCTGTTGGCTGGGCACGTCAGCACTGTGGAAGGAGAAAAATAATCATGTCCTCAACAAAGATGTGGGTTGAGTAGAAAATGGCACCCTATTCCTTATGTACAATAGTGCACTAGTAAAACATTATGTAGACAGACATGATTACATTTTTTCATTTACCTGGCATTGGTACACTGGCCAGATTACAAGCCTGGGTGCATTTAGTGGATGATAGATGCATAATAGTTATTCATGTGACAATGTATGTCATTGTGTAGGAGGGTTACATAAAGCTGCTGCTTGTGATTAATCTCTCCCTTAATAATATGATTGAAAACTCCATGTAACCTTTTCGAAAGTATAAGTTATTAATATTATCTAGTAGGCCATTTCTATTGAAGTGTAGTCCCATGTGAGATAAGTCACCAGCTGGGCTGGAGAGAATTCAACTCAACTCAATCAACTTGATTTATGCCCTAATTATTATTGTACTCACCACAGGGCGTGTCACTCCTCCAGCCTAACACGCGCACCCCCTGGGTCTGGCATGTGCTGGTGTAGATCTGCAGCCAGTTGCAAATGGTCTCCGGGGCGCCCTGGTCCAGGCACGTGTCCTGCAGGCAGCTCTGGTAGAAGAACGCCGGCGCCACCTTGCTGTGACAGCGCGCAAACACACCACCACGGTCCACGATCAACCCGCACAGACGTACAGCCTCGGGCTCCACAAACACATAAAGCCCGTCGCCCAGGTGGAATCGGATTCCCGTGTAACCCCCACCTTCAACATTGATGCCTCCTGCCTCGACATTTTGGGTCCCGCCTTCCACATTGACATCCGTGACAAGGAGAGGGGCGTCGACGGCGCCGAGGCCTCTCTCGACCAATCCGCAACGCGGGCACGAGTCGCCGCAGCCCACCTGGCAGAAGGTGTCCCGATCAGCCCAGGCCATGCCCCAGTCGCTGGTGGTGAGGGTGGGTGGAGAGGAGAGTGGAATGCCCTGGCACAGGCCGCAGGTGGCGTTGTAGAGGCGTCTGGGCAGCGTGAGCAGGAGCAGGGTGTTCCAGTCGAAGGCCACCTTCAGGCCAAAGTCCGTCTCCACCACCAGCTGCATGCCGAAGGTGAAGATGTGGACCTTTCCTGGCCCCAGCTTCAGAGGCAGGTAGAGACGCTCCTTATTCACCTAGGAGATAGCATTGGAGAAAGATTCATGTCTGTGTGTGCATGTGTGTATGTGTTTGTGTATGTGTTTGTGTGTGTATGTTGGGGTGTCATGCAGTTAGAAAAGCTAGCTACTTTAACTTGATTGATAGCCTGAAATGGCTTCTTGGTAGTGAATTATGAGGTTGGGAGATTTGGAACCTATCTGGGCTAGCTAAAGCAAACTTCATAAAGTTGACAGGTGGCTAGTAGTATTACAGAGAAACAATCCTCATCAATCTACGCACAATACCCCATAACAACAAAGCCAAAACAGGTTATTAGTTATTTTTTATTTTAAATTAAACTGAAATATCAAATTTACATAAGTATTCAGACCGTTTACTCAGTACTTTGTTGAAACACCTTTGGCAGTGATTACAGCCTTGAGTCTTGTTGGGTATGACGCTACAAGCTTGGCACACCTGTATTTGGGGAGTTTCTCCCATTCTTCTCAAGCTCTGTCAGGTTGGATGGGGAGCTATTTTCAGGTCTCTCCAGAGGTGTTTGATCGGGTTCATGTCCGGGCTCTGGTTGGGCCACTCAAGGACATTCAGAGACTTGTTCCGAAGCCACTCCTGCGTTGTCTTGGCTGTGGGTCGTTGTCCTGTTGGAAGGTGAACCTTCAACCCAGTCTGAGGTCCTGAGCGCTCTGGAGCAGGTTTTCATCAAGGATCTCTCTGTATTTGCTCCGTTCATCTTTCCCTCGATCCTGACTAGTCTCCCAGTCCCTGCCGCTGTAAAACATCCCCACAGCATGATGCTGCCACCACGTTTCACCGTAAGGATGGTGCCAGGATTCCTCCAGACGTGACGCTTTGCATTCAGGCCAAAGAGTTCAATCTTGGTTTCATCAGACCAGAGAATCTTGTTTCTCATGGTCTGAGAGTCCTTGAGGTGCCTTTTGGCAAACTCCAAGCGGGCTGTCATGTGCCTTTTACTGAGAAGTGGCTTCCGTCTGGCCACTCTACCATAAAGGCCTGATTGTTGGAGTGCTGCAGAGATGGTTGTCCTTCTGGAATGTTTTCCCATCTCCACAGAGGAACTCTGGAGCTCTGTCAGAGTAACCATTGGGTTCTTGGTTACCAAACTTCTTACATTTAAGAATGATGGAGGGCACTGTTCTTGGGAACCTACAATGCTGCAGACATGTTTTGTTACCCTTCCCCAGATCTGTGCCTCGACACAATCCTGTCTTGGAGCTCTACGGACAATTCCTTCAACCTCATGGCTTGGTTTTTGCTCTGACATGCACTGTCAACTGTGAGACCTTATATAGACAGGTGTGTGCCTTTCCAAATCATGTCCAATCAATTGAATTGACTACAGGTGGACTCCAATCAAGTTGTTGAAACATCTCAAGGATGATCAATGGAAACAGGATGCACCTGAGCTAAATTTCGAGTCTCAAAGCAAAGGGTCTGAATACTTATGTAAATAAGGTATTTCTATTTTTTATTTTTAATACATTTGCAAACATTTCTAAAAACCTGTTTTCGCTTTGTCATTATGGGGTATTGTGAGTAGATTGATGAGGATTTTTATTTATTTAATCCATTTTAGAAAATAAGGCTGTAAACATAACAAAATGTGGAAAAAGGTAAGGGGTCTGAATACTTTCCGAATGCACTGTATATATATATATACAGTCGTGGTCAAAAGTTTTGAGAATGACACAAGTATTGGTCTTCACAAAGTTCGCTGCTTCAGTGTTATGAGATATTTTTGTCAGATGTTACTATGGTATACTGAAGTATAATTACAAGCATTCCATAAGTGTCAAAGGCTTTTATTGACAATTACATTAAGTTTATGCAAAGAGTCAATATTTGCAGTGTTGACCCTTCTTTTTCAAGACCTCTGCAATCCGCCCTGGCATGCTGTCAATTAACTTCTGGGCCACATCCTGACTGATGGCAGCCCATTCTTGGATAATCAATGCTTGGAGTTTGTCAGAATTTGTGGGTTTTTGTTTGTCCACCCGCCTCTTGAGGATCGACCACAAGTTCTCAATGGGATTAAGGTCTGGGGAATTTCCTTGCCATGGACCCAAAATGTCGATGTTTTGTTCGCCGAGCCACTTAGTTATCACTTTTGCCTTATGGCAAGGTGCTTCGTCATGTTGGAAAAGGCATTGGTCGTCACCAAACTGTTCTTGGATGGTTGGGAGAAGTTGCTCTCTGAGGATGTGTTGGTACCATTCTTTATTCATGGCTGTGTTCTTAGGCAAAATTGTGAGTGAGCCCACTCCCTTGGCTGAGAAGCAACCCCACACATGAATGGTCTCAGGATGCTTGACTGTTGGCATGACACAGGACTGATGGTAGCGCTCACCTTGTCTTCTCTGGACAAGGTGTTTTCCGGATGCCCCAAACAATCGGAAAGGGAATTCAGAGAAAATTACTTTACCCCAGTCCTCAGCAGTCCAATCCCTGTACCTTTTGCAGAATATCAGTCTGTCCCTGATGTTTTTCCTGGAGAGAAGTGGCTTCTTTGCTGCCCTTCTTGACACCAGGCCATCCTCCAAAAGTCTTCGCCTCACTGTGCGTGCAGATTCACTCACACCTGAGCAAGCTCTGCACTGGTGGTGCCACGATCCCGCAGCTGAATCAACTTTAGGAGATGGTCCTGGCGCTTGCTGGACTTTCTTGGACGCCCTGACGCCTTCTTCACAACACTTGAACCTCTCTCCTTGAAGTTCTTGATGATCCGATAAATGGTTGATTTAGGTGCAATCTTACTAGCGGCAATATCCTTGCCTGTGAAGCTCTTTTTGTGCAAAGCAATGATGATGGCACGTGTTTCCTTGCAGATAACCATGGTTAACAGAGGAAGAACAATGATTTCAAGCACCACCCTCCTTTTAAAGCTTCCAGTCTGTTATTCTAACTCAATCAGCATGACAGAGTGATCTCAAGCCTTGTCCTCATCAACACTCTCACCTATGTTAATGAGAGAATCACTGACATGATGGCAGCTGGACCTTTTGTGGCAGGGCTGAAATGCAGTGGAAATGTTTTTGGGGGATTAAGTTCATTTTCATGGAAAAGAGGGACTTTGCAATTAATTGCAATTCATCTGATCACTCTTCATGACATTCTGGAGTATATGCAAATTGCCATCATCAAAACTTTGTGAAAATTAGTATTTGTGTCATTCTCAAAACTTTTGACCACGACTGTATGTACAGTGAGGGAAAAAAGTATTTGATCCCCTGCTGATTTTGTACATTTGCCCACTGACAAAGAAATGATCAGTCTATAATTTTAATGCTAGGTTTATTTGAACAGTGAGACACAGAATAACAACAAAAAAATCCAGAAAAACGCATGTCTAAAATGTTATAAATTGATTTGCATTTTAATGAGGGAAAAAAGTATTTGACCCCCTCTCAATCAGAAAGATTTCTGGCTCGCAGGTGTCTTTTATACAGGTAACAAGCTGAGATTAGGAGCACACTCTTAAAGGGAGCCTTGCAAAAGTATTTATCCCCCTTGGCGTTTTTCCTATTTTGTTGCATTACAACCTGTAATTAAAATTGATTTTTATTTGGATTTCATGTAATGGACATACACAAAATAGTCCAAATTGGTGAAATGAAATTAAAAAAATAAGTTGTTTCAAAAAATTAACTAACGGAAAAGTGGTGCGTGCATATGTATTCACCCCCTTTGCGATGAAGCCCCTAAATAAGATCTGGTGCAACCAATTACCTTCAGAAGTCACATAAATAGTTAAATAAAGTCCACCTGTGTGAAATCTAAGGTGTCACATGATCTCAGTATATATACACACCTGTTCTGAAAGGCCCCAGAGTCTGCAACACCACTAAACAAGGGGCATCACCAAGCAAGCGGCACCATGAAGACCAAGGAGCTCTCCAAACAGGTCAGGGACAAAGTTGTGGAGAAGTACAGATCAGGGTTGGGCTATAAAAAAATATCAGAAACTTTGAACATCCCACGGAGCACCATTAAATCCATTATAAAAAAATTGAAAGAATATGGCACCACAACAAACCTGCCAAGAGAGGGCCGCCCAACAAAACTCACGGACCAGGCAAGGAGGGCATTAATCAGAAATGCAACAAAGAGACCAAAGATAACCCTTAAGGAGCTGCAAAGCTCCACAGCGGAGATTGGAGTATCTGTCCATAGGACCACTTTAAGCCATACACTCCACAGAGCTGGGCTTTACAGAAGAGTGGCCAAAAAAAAGCCATTGCTTAAAGAAAGAAATTAGCAAACATGTTTGTGGGAGACTCCCCAAACATATGGAAGAAGGTACTCTGTTCAGATGAGACAAAATTGAGCTTTTTGGCCATCAAGGAAAACGCTATGTCTGGCACAAACCCAACACCTCTCATCACCCCGAGAACACCATCCCCACAGTGAAGCATGGTGGTGGCAGCATCATGCTGTGGGGATGTTTTTCATTGGCAGGGACTGGGAAACTGGTCAGAATTGAAGGAATGATGGATGGCGCTAAATACAGGGAAATTCGTGAGGTAAACCTGTTTCAGTCTTCCAGAGATTTGAGACTGGGACGCTTCACCTTCCAGCAGGACTATGACCAAAAGCATACTGCTAAAGCAACACTCGAGAGGTTTAAGGGGAAACATTTAAATGTCTTGGAATGGCCTAGTCAAAGCCCAGACCTCAATCCAATTGAGAATCTGTGGTATGACTTAAAGATTGCTGCACACCAGCGGAACCCATCCAACTTGAAGGAGCTGGAGCAGTTTTGCCTTGAAGAATCCCAGTGGCTAGATGTGCCAAGCTTATAGAGACATACCCTTAGAGACTTGCAGCTGTAATTGCTGTAAAAGGTGGCTCTACAAAGTATTGACTTTGGGGGGGGTGAATAGTTATGCACGCTCACGTTTTCAGTTTTTTTGTCTTATTTGTTGTTTGTTTCACCCCAAAAAATATTTTGCATCTTCAAAGTGTTAGGCATGTTGTGTAAATCAAATGAAACAAACCCCCAAAAAATCAATTTTAATTCCAGGTTGTAAGGCAACAAAATAGGAAAAATGCAGAGGGAGGTGAATACTTTCACAAGCAACTGTATATATTTTAACAGGACAAATCTAATGGGGCAAGTGCCCTTGTGCCCCCTATGGGCATGATGCCTCTGTGTGTGTGTGTGTGTGTTATATCTAGCGGGTGTAAGTGTGAGTGTGTAGGATCGAGTGTGTGTATTGTGGTTTTCCTCAGATCTTTGGGTTGGTTTGTGAACCCTTTCCAAATGTCGCTCAGGTCAGCCGTTCCTCTGAGCCCAATCCAGCCTGATAAAAGATGTTGATTGAAATAAGATCTGCCCTGAGCCAATCAAAGAGGAATTCACTCTTTGCTCCGTTATTCTATAGGCTTGATTAGCAAATAACTCTCCCTTACACGTCCAACCACTGTGTGACCTTCACAATACATCATTCACATTGGAAGGATGAATACGCATTGAAATTAAGACATAATAAAAACACATTTCTCCTGTCATTTTTCAACTGGATTCTCTGAAAGGCATTGGTAGGATTCTTGGCCTGTTCCCATTACTTACCAAAGATGTTTCTTACTAATAAAGTCTAACAAGACTGACTGTGCCCCAGCGTTTTCACACTACTGAGTCGAACCGAACCTAGCCAAGTCAAACCAAGCATTACTGAGCATTTCACAAAGGATAATGTGAAATAAAAATATCAGAGCCAGTACAGTTTGTTTCAGGACGGAAAGGTAGTGTGAAAAGGGTATAATCCACTCACCGTGATGGTGTGTTTGTAGCTCCGAGACACCTCAATCTCATAGCCGTAGACCTCCAAGACGAACCCTCTCACCCAGATGGCCTGCCCAGTGTCCCTCTCCTCGTTCCGGGCTGACAGCTTGAAGCGAGGGAAGGTGGCGCTGCTGCTCGTCCCGGACTGGGTGGCGGGGCTCTGGTCCCCATCCTCCTCCCCCACCACCCCACCGCTGCACGCCGTCGTAGCCAGCCTCAAGGTACAGCTGCTCTGTAGCTCGAAGGGCACACCACCGAACGGCAGGAAGTGGCTGTAACCGGCGGCGACGCATAGCGCCTCGGTGCGCGGCTGGCAGAAGTAGAGGCCCTCAAGGCCCTCCTGGCAGTACTCGCCCTCCCGGCATGGTGCCAGCGTGCAGTAGACACTGTTGTCCGAGCCGTTGCAGTAGCAGCGCTCTTTGCACTCCCAGTCGGTCCAGAAGGTCTGGTTGGTGACCAGCTGCCGGCTGCCAAGGTCGAGGCAGCCGCAATCACTGCGCGCCACGCACTGGCCATCGCGCAGCGCAAAGCCCTCCTCGCACTGGCAACCCTCCTGGCAAGGCAGTGGGCACGGCTCGTCAGGCTCGTCAAGGCCGGCGCAGGTCAGCTGGCACGCGCTAGTGCACTCATCGAAGTGACTGTTTTCTGGACAGGGCAAGGCTGCAGAAAGGAGAGATAGAGGGGTAGGGGAGAGAGATGAGAGAAAGAGAGAGAGAGGGGTAGGGGAGAGAGATGAGAGAAAGAGAGGGGTAGGGGAGAGAGATGAGAGTGGGGTAAGAGAGAAAGAGAGAGAGGGGTAGGGGAGAGAGATGAGAGTGGGGTAAGAGAGAAAAAGAGAGAGGGGTAGGGGAGAGGAATGAGAGTGGGGTAAGAGAGAAAGAGAGAGAGGGGTAGGGGAGAGAGATGAGAGAAAGAGAAAGAGAAAGAGAGAGAGGGGTAGGGGAGAGAAATGAGAGAAAGAGAAAGAGAGTGGGACAGTGAAAAAAATAAAAAGAGAACGAGAGAAAAGTAGAGAGACAAAGACAGAGGTCGAACAGAGACAGAAACAAGAGAAAGGGATATTCAGAATTAGCAGATCCAAGGTTTGGTTCATAAAGGAAAAATACATGGTCAGTCAATCACTCAACATCATTCCAAGGTGGTGGCGGGGGGACTAACTCACGGCAATTGGTGGCACTCCTCCAGGCGGCAAGGCCCACCTGGGCGTCCTGACAGGCCGAGGCATACGCCTGCAGCGAAGAGCAGAGTGCTGAGCGGTTTCCCTCCCGCACGCACATGTTGTACAGGCAGTTCCGGAAGAACGGCGAGGGGTTGACGGCGCTGTGGCATGCCAGGAAGGAGCTGTTCCCCGGGTCGTTGATGTTGCCGCACATCCAAGGGCTCTGGTAGAGCCGCAGGTCCGTGCACATGCGGTACAGGTCGTCGCAATCGCCGTTACACGTCAGGTCGTCGGCGATGGCCCGCCAGCCTTCGGTAAAGAGTTCGGGGGATTCGGCCAGACGGCCGTTGGGCAGACGGAGGTCGTCGCTGGCGTTTCCGTTGAAGAGGCCGCACAGGCCACAGGTGGCGTTGTAAAAGAGGGTAGAGAGGGAGATGTTGAGGAAGCCCTGGCGGGTGTAGCGGACTAGGACCAATCCGCTGGACTCCACCACGGTAGCGTTGCCCGGGGCGCGGTAGATCATCAGGGTCTCCAGAGGGTGGATATAAGGTAGTAGAACCGGCTCACCGTTCAGCTGGAAATTAGAGACATCATAACATTATGTCATAGACTGGTAGTAGCAGGGTAAATCCATTTGAATTCAATCACTTTTTGACAGCATCCCTTTTGATTTAAACAAAACTTTCCATACATGTTTGCCCATGGAAGAAGTGGTCAGGAAGTTACTTTTTGGACCTGAATGCCAAAACATTCAGGAGATAAAGGTGCTCAAATTTGAACCATTTTGCATACCCCACCATACCTTGAGACAACCATGTCTATCACTGGAAAAGATAAATGGTTGAGTTTGATATCATTTAAAGGTTTTATAATTTATTTGAAATATATATACACATATGGCATTATTTTACCTTAAACGTCAATTATCTAAAAATGTGTAAATTCTGATTATTTTCATATTCGCATATGTTGTAGCTTAGACACTACTTTACATCATGAGTTTTTTTTTTTTTTTCTGCCATCGGTTGATACAACATGCTCTTGAATAGAGGGTGGGGGTGTCATTTCAATCATACAAATAGAATTCATAGAATGGACCTATCCCTTCAGACAACTTCAGGCAATTTAGCTAGTACACCATTGAAATTGAATTGACATTTTTACTTCGAATTACTACAACAAAGATGGCTGTCGGATCACCCACCGTCGAATGTCAACTTAAATGGTAATGTCTATTCTATTATCTATAGGTTTCCTATGAAAGTTTGACAGTATAATTTAAAATAACAGATATTCCCATTCAAGTCAACATTCTCTGATGTGTGGACCTCCAACCATCTTTGTGGTACCATTTGAAAGTTGAAATTCAAATTGTATTCAAATTTGTGTACATTTATCAGCCAAAACATGACACCCATCCTGTATTAAAGAGAATGTTGTGTCACAACCGATGGCGGGCACAACACAAGATGATTATGTTAAATAGGGTGTAACATACAACATACGCAAATATGAAAAAAATCAGAGTTTACGCATTTTTTGATAATTGACGTTTAAGGTAAAAAAAAAAAATATATAATAATACATGTCCAAGATATTATCAAATAGTTTGACAACCCTGTTTGTAAGCTTTTAAATCAATCTCAACCATTTATCTTTTCCAGTAATGACAAAATGGCATGGTGGGGTATGAAAAATAGGTCAACTTTGAGCACCTTTATTTTACATTTTAGTCATTTTAGCAGACGCTCTTATCCAGAGCGACTTACAGTTAATGAGTGCATACATATTTTCATACATTTTATCTCTTGAATGTTTTGGCATTCAGGTCCTAAATGTCCCTTTCTGAGCACTTCTACCATGGGCAAATACAGTGGGGAGAACAAGTATTTGATACACTGCCGATTTTGCAGGTTTTCCTACTTACAAAGCATGTAGAGGTCTGTAATTTTAAAAACAAAAATCCAGAAAATCACATTGTATGATTTTTAAGTAATTAATTTGCATTTTATTGCATGACATAAGTATTTAATACATCAGAAAAGCAGAACTTAATATTTGGTACAGAAACCTTTGTTTGCAATTACAGAGATCATACGTTTCCTGTAGGTCTTGACTAGGTTTGCACACACTGCAGCAGGGATTCTCCAGATCCTTCAGGTTTCGGGGCTGTCGCTGGGCAATACAGACTTTCAGCTCCCTCCAAAGATTTTCTATTTCGTTCAGGTCTGGAGACTGGCTAGGCCACTCCAGGACCTTGAGATGCTTCTTACGGAGCCACTCCTTAGTTGCCCTGGCTGTGTGTTTTGGGTCATTGTCATGCTGGAAGACCCAGCCACGACCCATCTTCAATGCTCTTACTGAGGGAAGGAGGTTGTTGGCCAAGATCTTGCGATACATGGCCCCATCCATCCTCCCCTCAATACGGTGCAGTCGTCCTGTCCCCTTTGCAGAAAAGCATCCCCAAAGAATGATGTTTCCACCTCCATGCTTCACGGTTGGGATGGTGTTCTTGGGGTTGTACTCATCCTTCTTCTTCCTCCAAACACGGCGAGTGGAGTTTAGACCAAAAAGCTCTATTTTTGTCTCATCAGACCACATGACCTTCTCCCATTCCTCCTCTGGATCATCCAGATGGTCATTGGCAAACTTCAGACGGGCCTGGACATGCGCTGGCTTGAGCAGGGGGACCTTGCGTGCGCTGCAGGATTTTAATCCATGACGGCATACTGTGTTACTAATGGTTTTCTTTGAGACTGTGGTCCCAGCTCTCTTCAGGTCATTGACCAGGTCCTGCCGTGTAGTTCTGGGCTGATCCCTCACCTTCCTCATGATCATTGATGCCCCACGAGGTGAGATCTTGCATGGAGCCCCAGACCGAGGGTGATTGACCGTCATCTTGAACTTCTTCCATTTTCTAATAATTGCGCCAGTTGTCCTTCTCACCAAGCTGCTTGCCTATTGTCCTGTAGCCCATTCCAGCCTTGTGCAGGTCTACAATTTTATCCCTGATGGCCTTACACAGCTCTCTGGTCTTGGCCATTGTGGAGAGGTTGGAGTCTGTTTGATTGAGTGTGTGGACAGGTGTCTTTTATACAGGTAACGAGTGGAGAACAGGAGGGCTTCGTAAAGAAAAATTGACAGGTCTGTGAGAGCCGGAATTCTTACTGGTTGGTAGGTGATCAAATACTTATGTCATGCAATAAAATGCAAATTAATTACTTAAAAATCATACAATGTGATTTTCTGGATTTTTGTTTTAGATTCCGTCTCTCACAGTTGAAGTGTACCTATGATAAAAATTACAGACCTCTACATGCTTTGTAAGTAGGAAAACCTGCAAAATCGGCAGTGTATCAAATACTTGTTCTCCCCACTGTATGTATGGAAGGTTTTGTTCAACTCAAAATGGCTGCTGTCAAAAAGTGATTCAATTTAAATAGATTTACCCAGCAGCAACCTTCAATAACTGTAATGTAGTGTTGTGATATCTCTGTTCTACATATTCCAGTTAAATGACTTTGAGCATGAGAAAAGTATTCATCTCATGACCACATTAGACTTCAGGGCCAGTTTCCCAGACTCATATTTAGCCTACCCCTGGTGTAAAATAATGTTCAATGGAGTTTCTCCACTGGAAGTGATTCTTAGTCCAGAAGTAAAGTTAGCCTAGGTGTGGAAAACTGACCAACAATGCGGCCCACAATACCGATACTTTCTGAATACATTTTCAACATAGAATCTTTACAGATCTCTATATCTGTCTGGAGACTCATGCATTTCTCTCAATCATCAGACTGAGGGGTAGCACCAAAATAGCCTGGTCCCATATTGTATGTTTTGCATGACAATGAACAAACACAGAGAAAAGTTGGCTAAAGCAGAAACAGACTGGAGCACCAGGCTATAATTCTAACCTTCACTGTGTCAAAGTCCGATCCACCCATCTGGGCCTCCAGGTTGGCCACCCTGACCACCACTGGCCGCATCCAGGCCGGACCCTTGTTCACCAACCGCCGGCCCATCTTCACCTCCACAGCCGACACATTGGCTGGCGTCGGGCCGCACGACCTCAGCAGGTAGTAGGAGCTGTCGTCCGGGAAGAGCATGGAGGCCCCGTCGAAGGAGGCCGTCACAACGTTCTGGCCCAGAGAACACACCCCCTCCCTGCGGGGGTAACAGCCCAACAGGCCGACCTCCGCCACACACACCTCGCCTTCTCTACACGAGTCATTGAAGCAGGAGACTTCGCCGTTGGGCCCACAAACACAGCGCAGGGTGCACTCTCTGCCCTCGCCTGTGGGGCCCGCCCAGAAAGTGTAGTTGAGCGGGTAGTATAGGCCGTCACGCTCGCAGCCGCAGTCCTGGTGCCGGACACAGCGGCTGCCACTCAGCACGTAGCCCGGGTCGCACTGGCAGCCCTCGGTGCAGGGGTGGGCACAGTACAGGTGAGAGGTGAGGTCTGAGCAGGAGGCCGGGCAGGCACTGGTGCACACCTGGTAGTGGCTGGACTCAGGGCATGTCAGGGCTGGCAGCCAATCAAAGGAGAAAGAGGACATGTTATATTACAGATCATATTTACCTAACATTGTTATGCTGTTATGTGTTACATGATTACTACTGTAAGTTGCATTATGATATTGTGGGGGGAAAGAAAGAATGAGAGATAAAGACAGCTTTTGGAGTAAGCAATATTAACCACATCTAACAGAAACAGCAAGGATAGGTAGCTATGAGTCCCTTTCATGTCCAAACAAAACCATTCCTACCCCGACATATAGATACATATGGGGATAGAAGAGCACCCACCACAGAAGGTGCGTGACCTCCAGGGTCGTATGGTGACCCCCAGGGCTTGGCAGGCTAAGGCATAGGCCTGGATGGCCTGACAGAGGGTGGTAATGTTGTCCCTGTTGCTACACATGTCGTAGACACAACTATAGACGAAGGCCGTGGGGTCCACCACTGCCCTGCAGTCCCTGAAAGGCCCGTCTGTCTTGTTGATGAGTCCACAGTAATCCGGGCGGAAGTAAAACGCCTCGGTCAACGGGTCACAGACACTGCAGTTCTGGGCGCAGCCATCCGTGCAGCGCCAGTCAGCGTCCTCCGCCCGCCAGCTGCCACCTAGCTCCACCACGCTCTCGGCCAGCGAGCCGTCGGGCAGCACGGGGTCGTCAGCAGGGTCGTCGTTATAGTTACCACACAGGCCGCATGTGTTGTTGAAGTAGGAGCTGGGCAGGGAGATAGAGGCATAGTGCTGCCCGTCGTAAGTCACCAGGAGGCCGAAGTCGGTCTCCAGGGCGACGGCAACACCTGACTGGTACACTCTGACCGCACCCAGCTGGAGTTGGACTGGCAGTGTCTTCACCAGCCCATCCACCTGGAAGAGAAGAGGTAGGAGATTCAGGGTGGATTATGGAGTATAGTACCACATAAACACCATATTAGATAAGTAATAGAGCGATACACAGGATCTGCTGGTCTTACCTGTCAATCTATGTGATCAGACCACTGTTATGTACCTAGCCTCCCGAAAGCACAACATCTGTGTTAGCCTGCTGACCTAAAACCTAGACATCCCTACATATTTGTCCTACTGGGAAGTGCTGCTCTGCTCACCTGTACAGTGCCCTGGCTGCCCTTAGGCAGGGTGACGCGGTGGCCATACATTTCCACGGTGACGTCCCTCAGCCAGGACACGGAGGCCACGCCACGGTTCTCGTTCTTTGCCTCCACACTGAAGAAGGGCAGGCCAGCCACCTCCCAGCAGGGCCGGGCCAGCAGATAGGAGCAGGTGCCCTGGAAGTGGTAGAGGAAGCCGTCAAAGGTGTGGTAGTGTGGGTCACCGAAAACCACGCAGGTGCTGGTTCGCGTGGGCTGGCAGTAGAAGGCACCCTCCTGCTGCTCGCACGTTTCCAGCTGGCCGCACGGCGCGTCCTGGCAGAGCACCTCGTTGTCCATGTCCAGGCAGCGGCACCGCTGGGAGCACTGGTCAGACAGCCAGAAGATCTCGCCGCGTCGATAGAACCGCCCTAGGAGAAGATATGGACATTCATAATGACTATGGGGTCTCTCCGAACTTAGATATTTGTCCAAGTCTTTGTTATGTTCCACTTTATACCCACCATTGTAACTGCAGCCATTGGCAGGGTCTATTAGGGCAGTGTCTATACGGAAGACCCAGCGGCCAGGCAGGTTAACATTGGTCGTCTGCTCGATTTCAACCACCTCATTGGAGCGGGACCCAGGCAGGTTGAGGAAGTGACCGTTGTCTCCTCCATTAAAACCTGACTGGAAATGGGAGAGATGGGGAAAGGCAAGTGAGGAGGTTATCACTTACTTAGAGGTGGGAGGCATCAAGATTGTTCTGCTGTATTTGAGCTATATCTGGGGGGTTGGTCTTCTGTGTTTTAGAGGTCAGAGGTGGGACTTCATGATTGGTCTGATATGTTTTAGGGGAGGTATTTTGATTTGTTGAACACTTTTTGGTTACTACATGATTGCATATGTGTTATTTCATTGTTTTGATGTCTTCACTATTCTACAATGTAAAAATAAAGAAAAACCCTTCATTGAGTAGGTGTGTCCAAACTTTTAACTGGTACTGTATATGGGACGTCATGGTTGGCTGGTTGGTTAGATGTGTTTTAGGGGTGGTACATGGGGCAATGTGATTGGTTTGATGTGTGCCAGGGGTGGTATATGTAGGTTATCATGATTGGACTACCTGTGCTGTGGTTCCACCTAAACCAGTCAGAGGGTCTCCTCCACTGGCAGTGCCTGTGCTCCAGTTGATCTCTCCATAGTTGAACATGGAAAAGCATGACAGACCATCTGATATCAATACAGCCTGAAACGTGTTCACCTATAGAGAGGTGAGAATGTGCAGGGATGGTCAGTTCAATATGAGACCAAAGACAGATCAAAGAGCATTGTAAATAAGAATTTGTTCTTAACTGACTTGCCTAGTTAAATAAAGGTAAAATAAAAATAAATAAATAAATGGTAATATTAGTGGCCATCGTCCACCAAGGCCACATACTGTACAACCCCAATTCAGGTACCATCTCTTTTCTTGTGCGTGTCCCTAAACGTGTTTTGAGTGTGGAGCATAGTAATCCCTGTGATTAGTGATTGTGGTTATTTTACCGGGGTGGTCTGACTGCCTCCGTAGAAGGTGACCTGGTGCCAGGTTGTGATGAAGACCCAGGTTGCTGTGAAGGTGGGCATGTTCTTGAAGTACTTGCGGATGTCTTGTGAGGCCCGCTGCAGTATCTCTGGGTCTGTGCTCTCGCGATAGTACACGTCTCCGCGGATACCATTGTGCACGTCTGCCCATAGTGGGGCGATGAAGGATCTGCTGTCACTCAGGGGGAAGGCCTCTGGGGTGAACTGGCTCACCTGCACGTTGAAGGAGATCACACCGTTGTTGTTGACCTGCAGAGTTTGAGAGGGAGGCACAGTCCCAATTGATTTGTTGATGAACAGATTGATGATAAAAAGAACGATTAATGGTTAGGTGAATGATGGTGGATTAACATTTCTTTCTGAGATATTTGCTGTTATTGAAGGAAAGAAGGGTAGATGGGAGCTTACATAGATGGAGCGGTAGGGGTTATTAAAGAAAATGAATGGCATGAGTATAATTATTTCAGTGGAACTTCCATCATCCATCTTGGGTGTCTCCAGATCTCGGTGGACGGGCCCATAGGGGTACATGATCTCTTGAGAAAGAGCTGAAGGAAAAAGGGGGGAGACAATTGTCGTAACAGATCTAGCAAAGAAGGGGGAACAACTGGTCAAACATTTATATAGACTACTTATGTCATCTGAGACATTTTGGTGAATTCAATCAAGATAAGATCAATGTTTAACCAGAAAGAAAGGGAAAATAACTTATGCCTTCTAAACACTTTCACTCTTTCATAACGGTCTATAAGATAGTGGTCCTTGAGTAATTTGCTCTGATATCTCTATATAAGATACAGAAAACGTGAATCAGAATGGGATCCACGTCACTCACCTTCTCTCTGAGTAAAGAAGCTAAAGAGGTGGAACAGAATGACTGGAGTGCCTGGCCTGACCATCCTAGATGGATAAAAGAGACAGAGAGGGGATTGAAATAAGTCCACTGGGGATAATGAGAGTGAGAATAGTTAATTCAGGACAAAGCATTTAATGAGAGTTATTCAGGAGGGGCTTGTTGATTGAGTTTTTCTGATTCTTCCATAGCCATAGACCCCCAAAACCTCATGAACTTCAGTGCCAGCAACTAGGAGGCTGATACCAAAGCAGGGTAAGAGTCACTCACAGAGACAACCTCTCATAAACAAGAGCATTTAACAAGAGCACTGGGGAGCAAGGGAGCACCGGCCAGCCAGTCGACGACGACGACACGTAACTTCTTTAAGATCAGTCTCCCATGTCTCCCTTGGGGGTAGACCCCCACCCCCTTCTCCCCACCGCGGTGGCCCGTTAGAGGAGCCCTGAAAAGGCCCTATTATGCGTTCAGGAACAATGTGTCAGGATCACATTCGCCTTGCGGTCCCATGTGAGTGGACCACAGTGGGGCTGGGCCCTCTCAAATCCATGGACCCTGCGGCCCAACCCAAGCCTCTACGCTCCAGCGTCTCATCGGAGGACGGGAGCTGGGCCTGGGAGCTCATTATCACGTCTGTTTGGGAGCCATGTCTTGTTGGCTAAAGAGAGGGGAGCGTAAACAGTGGAGCACTAATGGCTTTAATTGAGTGGGCTTGAATTGCTAGGGTTCTTACTGTGGCCCTCTGGGGTCGGTGCCTGGCTTGGCCGGCTTCCCACTGCCGAACCAGGATGTACAGCCAAGGCCATCTAAGGGAAAATACCTGACCTAATTCAAATCAGCATTTGATAGAATGGTAATTGAATGTTAAATGAATAGTTATCAATTGAATGTAAAAATAACGTTTATGTGTCCTCTCTGATTTGTGTATGTAAGGCGCTTGGAGAAAGTCCCAAAGGGGTTGAATGGTTAAGGTATTACTTAATTACTGATTTGGAAAACCAAAACTCAAGGTACTTTTTTTTTTGCAAGGTGTTTTTTTAATTGCCTTTAAAAGTGATCACAGAGAATATATATTTTTTGTTGTTGTACTTTTTACCGCTTTTTCTCCCAAATTTTGTGATATCCAATTGGTAGTTACAGTCTTGTCCCATCGCTGCAACTCCCGTATGGACTCGGGAGAGGCGAAGGTCGAGAGCCATGCGTCCTCCAAAACACGGCCCTGCTAAGCCGCACTGCTTCTTGACACACTGCTCGCTTAACCCGTAAGCCAGTCTATTGATATCCATGCCCATTGTTCTAGATGAACCAAATTAAAAGCGTTTGTAGATATAGTTTAAAAAACAATCATTTATAAAACTAGATCTATGTAAATTAGTATTTATTGAAAATGTATTAGTTCATGTGTCTCCTGACCTTTTCGCTAAGAATGTGAGACACAGTTTCATACACAACATCCTGGGCACAAACTGGTTGAATCAACATTGTTTCGAAGTAATTTTACAACATATTGTGACGTGGAATCTATGTGGAAAATACATTGGATTTGAAAAAAGTAATCAACATAAACTGGTGAAATTTCAACCACAGTTATCATTGTAACCAATTTTCAACATAGACAAACCTTGTATAAAATATGTTGAATTTGTACCTTTGAAACAACTTCAGATCTTCAATGTTATATCCACTATCAGGGGAAAAAAACTATAGGCTGGGCCACATGTTCCCATCGTATACACACCCAATGTTGTATCTAATACTTGTAAGACTAACCCATATGACTTCAAAATTGTGTTTTAGTTCTACTTAAATAATAAAGCATTCGATTCTTCCATTCTCTTAACATTGGAGTATCATTTGACTAGCAGTATTTAAGTAATAGCGTCTTCAATATATGTGACAAAAATAATATTGTCCAACCCATTGGTATCTCACCGCACCCCCATATGCCATGTCTTGAAATATGCAGATAGATGGATTAAAAACTTCTGACAGCCAGCTTTCTAACTCTGGCTTTAACTTTTTGACTTTATAGCACTCGCAGAAGGCATGAATTATTGAGTCATTGTTAGTTTTACACTTAAGACATGACTCTGCCATTGTGCTGTAGAATTTGTGAATTTTGTCTCTTGTATAATAAATTATATTAATTTGATTATACTGGATTAAGCGTAACTGTAATTTTGTTCATTATGTTCCAACACTCCCTACATCTTGTGCCAATATCAGTTATTTTTAAGTCTTGGTTCCAATATTTTACATATTTTTTCTAACAGATTGTCAGTTGGATAGGCTCTCTGCAAGATTTTGTATATTTTACCAATCGTTTGAGAATCTTTTTCTGACTCAAATAGGATTCCCTCAACATTGCTCTGATGTCCAAACGCTTTCAGGTCGAGATTTTGTGGTATAAAACTTTTAAGTTGCATATATTTGAAAATGTCCCAAATTGCTTTTTAAATCTGTTATGGAAATAATTGTATTTCCTATTACCACATCATTTACAGTTTCTATGCCTTTAGTTTTCCATGTGGGGCAATTTATCGGTGAATTCTAAAAAGCTATCCAAGGACTGTTCCATAGGGGTGTGTTTTTAGGGAGTGATATTAGTTCTTGTAGAATCCGTTTCATTTTCTTTCATGTTGTTATAGTGTTCTTAACTATGAAGTTGTTAATGTTCTTAGCTCCATACTTTGAAAACAAAAACGTGAAAAGATTCTGGGGATGAGTATGCGCATCTTCAATATGTACCCAAAGTTCCTCTTTAGTGCATTTAACAATATGTCGCAAGTAAAAGCCTTGGGTGGCGAGTTCATACAATTCCAAATCTGGAAGGTTAAAACCACCCTTGTAAAACTTTCCTATTTATTCAATGAGTTTTATTTGCCCATATGAAGTCTGTTATGGCCAAGTACATTTTTTAAAGAATGTCTTCGGTGGGGTAATTGGTATTACTGAAAATATATATACAAACTTTGGGAGCCATGCCATTCTAAAATAAGTTTATTATACCTGTAAGATTTATGGGGAGATAATTCCAGATAATTAGGTCGGCTTTCATGTTGTTGAGTAATGGGATAAAGTACTTTTTATATCTATATGTCACTTATTAAGCATCCTAAGTATTTAATATTTTTTGTGGTCCACTTAAAGGATTGCTGTAGATCATTATATTTTCCCTATTGCCATTATTTCAGTTTTTTCCACGTTAATTTTATCCTGAGATTTTAGAGTATTCTGAAAACATTTTTAACAAGGGGGGCATTGAGTTCAATATTAGTCAGTTATATCAGGAGATCGTCTGCAAAATAATTTTAGCTTATATTCATTTTAACCAATACTGATAGCTGTTATTTTTGTGTCCTGTCTAATTATTTCTGCAAGAGGTTCAATTGCCAGTGCAAACAGGAACGGGGAGAGAAGACATCCCTGTCTCGTACCCCCTTCTAAAGCAATTTGATCAGATAATGTATTATTTGTGTATATTTTTTGCTTTTGAATATGTATAGTGCTTTTAGAAAGTATTCACACCCCTTGACTTTTTCCACATTTTGTTGTGTTACAGCCTGACTTTAAAATTGATTAAATTAAGATGTATTGTCACTGGCCTACACACAATACCCCATAATGTCAGTGTGGAATTATTTTTTAAATATATTTTTTAACAAATTAATTAGAAATGAAAAGCTGAAATGTCTTGAGTCAATAAGTATTCAACCCTTCTGTTATGGCAAGCCTAAATATGTTCAGGAGTAAAAATGTGCTTAACAACTCACATAATAAGATGCATGGACTCACTCTGTGTGCAATAATAGTGTTTAACATGGTTTTGAATGACTACCTCATCTCTGGACCCCACACATACAATTATCTGTAAGGTAATTACAGTCGAGCAGTACATTTCAAACACAGATTCAACCACAAAGACCAGGGAGGTTTTCCAATGACTCGCAAAGAAGGACACCTATTGGTATAAAAAGAAGACAATGAATATCCCTTTGAGCATGGTGGAGTTATTAATTACTTTGGATTGTGTATCAATACACCCAGTCACTACAAAGATGCAGGCATCCTTCCTAACTCAGTTGCCGGAGAGGAAGGAAACTGCTCAGGGATTTCACCATGAGGCCAATGTTGACTTTAAAACAGTTACAGAGTTTAATGGCTGTGATAGGAGAAAAGTGAGGATGGATCAACAGCATTGCAGTTACTTCACAATGCTAACCCTAATTGACAGAGTGAAAATAAGGAAGCCTGTACAGAATAAAACTATTCCAAGACATGCATCCTGTTTGCAACAAGGCACTAAAGTAATACTGCAAAAAATGTGGTAAAGCAATTAACTTTTGGTCCAGAATACAAAGTGTTATGTTTGGGGCAAATCCAATACAACACATTACTGAGTATTACTCTGCATATTTTCAAGCATAGTGGTGGCTGCATCATGTTATGTGTACAGTCGTGGTCAAACGTTTTGAGAATGACACAAATACTAATTTTCACAAGGTCTGCTGCCTCAGTTTTGATGATGGCAATTTGCATATACTCCAGAATGTCATGAAGAGTGATCAGATGAATTGCAATTAATTGCAAAGTCCCTCTTTGCCATGAAAATGAACTTAATCCCCCAAAAACATTTCCACTGCATTACAGCCCTGCCACAAAAGGACCAGCTGCCATCATGTCAGTGATTCTCTCGTTAACACAGGTGAGAGTGTTGATGAGGACAAGGCTGGAGATCACTCTGTCATGCTGATTGAGTTAGAATAACAGACTGGAAGCTTTAAAAAGAGGGTGGTGCTTGAAATCATTGTTCTTCCTCTGTTAACCATGGTTACCTGCAAGGAAACACGTGCTGTCATCATTGCTTTGCACAAAAAGGGCTTCACAGGCTGCTAGTAAGTTTGCACCTAAATCAACCATTTATCGGATCATCAAGAACTTCAAGGAGAGAGGTTCATTTGTTGTCCAGAGAAGACAAGGTGAGCGCTACCATCAGTCCTGTGTCATGCCAACAGTAAAGCTTTCTGAGACCATTCATGTGTGGGGTTGCTTCTCAGCCAAGGGAGTGGGCTCACTCACAATTTTGCCGAAGAACACAGCCATGAATAAAGAATGGTACCAACACATCCTCCGAGAGCAACTTCTCCCAACCATCCAAAAACAGTTTGGTGACGACCAATGCCTTTTCCAGCATGATGGAGCACCTTGGCATAAGGCAAAAGTGATAACTAAGTGGCTCTGGGAACAAAACATCGACATTTTGGGTCCATGGCCAGGAAACTCCCCAGACCTTAATCCCATTGAGAACTTGTGGTCAATCCTTAAGAGGCGGGTGGACAAACAAAAACCCACAAATTCTGACAAACTCCAAGCATTGATTATGCAAGAATGGGCTGCCATCAGTCAGGATGTGGCCCAGAAGTTAATTGACAGCATGCCAGGGCGGATTGCAGAGGTCTTGAAAAAGAAGGGTCAACACTGCAAATATTGACTCTTTGCATAAACTTAATGTAATTGTCAATAAAAGCCTTTGACACTTATGGAATGCTTGTAATTATACTTCAGTATACCATAGTAACATCTGACAAAAATATCTAAAAACACTGAAGCAGCTAACTTTGTGAAGACCAATACTTGTGTCATTCTCAAAACCTTTGA